AACAATCGCATGTCTTTATTTTTTAATTCGCTTCGTCCACCAAAGACCACCGGGCGATGTAGTGAGGACTAAAAAGTCTTCCACTGATGCGACCACGGCGCCTCGAAGGAAGCCTCAGCTTGTAAACAAGCGGTATTGATGCAATAAAAAAAAACTGCTAGGCATAAAGTGTCGAGTATGGCATGGATGATAAACAATTTTGTCAAGTTGTGAAAAAAAGTGAGAATGCTTTATCGCCTGAGCCGTATAAATAGGCAAGCCTGGGTCGGTCCGAGCAGCACTGGCGAGCCGTTCCAACATGTTGCAGCACAACTCGAGCTTGACCCTCCTCTTCGTCTGCCTCGTCTGCCTGGGCCGACTCGTCTCGGCCAGCTTCGACGAGACGGACAGGGCGACCGAAAGCAAAATGGCCTTCTCCTGGGCTTTCCCCGGGCATCAGATGCACCCCGGCGCCTGGGGCGTCTGGCCGGGGGCGCCGGTGGCGGCACCGAATGTCGCCCCGACCGGAATGCTCGGACTCGACCTGGTTTCACATGCGCCCGTTTTGCCCAAATACTCCATCAACCATCAGGCCATGACCTGGGGCAAGAGCAAGCCCCAACGAAGACCCTACGTCCTAGTGCCAGGCGGCTTCGTTGGCGTTTAACCAATCGGCGACCGGCCCCCCGGACTCAGGCACTCCGGAGTCGAGCGGTCGTCGTGCTCGGACGCCGGTTCAACTCGACTCGACAACACCTGCGATTGGGTGCTCGGCGGGTCACAGATCGCGTGAGGCCGACCGCCCAACTCGGCCCCCTTGAGTCTGAAACGTCGCCCAGTGTACATTCGCACCACATGCAGCTCTGCTATAATCTATGTCCACCAAAAAAGTAGATGCCCTTTATAAATGTTTTTCATTAACAAAATACTGCCTTTTCGTCGCCAACACAACCGCTTTGGGAAGGACGGAAAATGACAGGTCACTTGAACATGCGTTACGGGTCTGAAACGCTAAGTACTGGGAATTTGGGGTTTTCACGCATCCTCAAGCAAGCTGAGGAGCGAATTTGCTTTCCATGTTTGGTTCTGTCGCCAGACAGACTCTGCGAATATGGTCAGTCAAGAATCGGATGGTGGAGGAGGAATAGCTGAAATGTGGCGGGAAAACGATGTAGAATAAATAATACGACAACAGCAATGACTAGAAACAAGTTGTTAAAATAAGAGCAAACAATAAAGAAATTAAGGAGTTAGGGTAGATATGGAGGAGAAGATCAGATCGAGATATATAAATAATAATTAGAAAGAGGAAGAAAATTAAAAAATGGTATTGTAAAAGACAGAAGAATAAAAATAAAAAGTAGTAAAAAAATAAAAAGTATGAGAGAAAAATATTAAAATTTATGAATTTTATGATTAAAAGGAAAGAGAAAAAAGTAGGCAAAAATCATCAGTATAAATAAACGAAAGGCTAAAAAAAGAAATAAATTGAAGCAAAGAAAAGAATAAATAAAAATAATTTTAATTGAAGAGAGAAAAAGAGGGAATGTGGAAGACATATTTTTTTAAAATTAATCAAGAAAAATTTTAGGAAAAAAAAGAAACAACATAAGGGAAGAAATGTTGAGATAAGATGAAATGAGAGGAGATGAGATGAAATAAGTTGAGATAAGATAAAAGGAAATGAGATGAGATGAGATGAGATGAGATGACTACTTTGCACTTTCTCTCGTGTTTAATAGAATTTCGTTTAGTTTCCTCAATTTTATAATTAACCCCAATGGAAGATTTAGATTCCCATTAGAGTTGGACTAAGATAAACGAATACTCTTCCTGAATGTTGATTTCATTCGCTCTAATGGAATTTTTATTAGGATACTATTCACAATTAAATTACATGCCGCAATAATCCTTAATTTCCTATTTTATCCTATCAACCCACTGAAGATCGTAATACTGAAGAATTTTATCATCAAAAGCTTAAGACTAACGGACATGTAGTTCGGGAACGAAGCGTTGAACCAACACACTCAGATTTACTTTAGTAACGTATGCCTCGGAGAAGTTGTAACAACCTGTCCCCACACATTTCCCATTCAACGTTTATTTCAGGCAGAGATACACAGACTAGTTCATTTACTTGAGTAAACCAGGCCAAGGTGTGAAGATCAAGATGGTGTGGCCTTTTGTGTGGTCGCACTCTCCTTTCGTTGAATAGAAGTTGTTCGACCTTGTTTTCGCAACTTGGTCCTATTGGTTGGAAGACTTGGAGGAACGCACCAAGTCCGGAGTCCATTGCATGCATCATCATTTCCAGAGTGGGACCGTGGACGTGATACATTCCCAGATTTTTCGACGGCATCGTCAGTGTGTCTTGCCACCCTTAGCACCACACAACAACTCGTCAAAGAGACAAGTGAAGTCAATCCTTTGACCAAATGTGTGCTGGACAGTTGTGGTATCGCTCCTTTTGTCCTGGGCTATTCACCTCTTTTTTTTAATTTATTTTTGTTTCCTTGCTAATTTAAATGTTGTGTGGTGTGCCCTTTTGAGCAGCTTTTATGATAACCTTCCACACTCCACGCTGGCGTTCTTGCCCCCCTTCAAACTTGTTTTGGGAATGTGGATCAGAATCTGCCATATTGTTACGCAGTCCTTCTTCCCTAGGTCTTATCACAGTCTCTCTCTTGCCTTGTAAGATCCGTCTACTCTCTCCCTGGTTCACATATTTCACTCGACCCCTGCCACCCCATCTGTGCCACTCAAGGCGTTATTCGCTCTCCCCTCAGAGTAATTGTCATGGTTAAGCCTTTGCTACATGGCCACGTCAATGGTAAAACACCTCTTTTGATAGCCAAACAGCTCTAGTCGACACCGCGTCTATCCTGTTTCTATCCCTAATACCAAGTCTATGATAGCCACTATTGCAGAGGAATTCGTACTAGGTGCGTTCTACTAAATCGCCCTGACAACAAGATCAAGTTGTCACAACGAGGTCGACCCACTTCTATAAATCGAAAGGAGACTGCGACCATAACAGAGGCCACACCATCTTGGTCTTCATATCTCCAATATAGTTTGCAGCTTAAGTTGTTGAGATGCCTGTCAAACAAACAAACAAACAAACAAACAAACAAACAAACAAACAAACAAACAAACAAACAAACAAACAAACA